GCAGGAGGGGAAGGCCCTCTATGAGGTGGATTGATTCGGTGACTGGAGTAATGGGGATGGGAGTGTCCGAGACATTGCGATTGGCATAGGACAGAGCAGAGTTTAGGGCTATTGTACATCGGATCGCTATGAGTCGCAAGCAACTCGACGGCACATAATAACTACTGGAGTAGATGGATGGGACATTCATGCCACTATTTATCTCAATATATAGGTTTTTAGTTAGTTATAGGCTTTTTTAAATGGAGATAATATATAAATTGATACATGAAAGCCAAGTAAAAGTTATGGCAGATAGTGGGAGCACATGTAGAACCAAAGGGGAGAAAGGACACAGTAGAATTATGAGGAATCTATTTTGGTTAAGTACCAGATCCAAGGAAGAAAATAAAATTAAGTACCATGATATAAAAACCAAACTGACTTAGTGTCTCTAATCAGAGTGTTTTGGTGGTCATGTGGTAAAGAGCTGCACTGCCAATCTGAAGGCAGGTGGTTCGAATCTACCAGCTGCTCTTGGGGTAAAAGATGTGCAGTTTCCTACTGTGTGATTACTGTCTCTAAAAACCTGTGGGAGGGTCAGATATGAGTTGGTTCTGACTCAATGGCACATAACAACATAAAAAAAAAAATCTAGAATTTATTCTGAAGGCAAAAAGAATGACAAAATGAACACTCAATAGTTACTTGAATTGTAACTGATTGATTAGTACCAGATTAGTCCATTTTTTTTTGCCTATTCTCACCACTGTGAACATAAAAATCTATAGATATCTAAGTTTTCTTAGGATGTTTTAGTGTCAGTAAGCTGATAATTCACAAGGATAACAAAAAGAAAAGCATAGTTAGAAATAAAAAGGAATTCATATGCTTTTTAAAGATATGGAATATGAAGAAAGAAAATATTTAGAATAGATTTGGTATAAAAACAATGTATACAAACGTTATGAACTTTGTATGTAAACCAGTGTAAAATTAAAAAAAAACAAATAATTATTTGTACTTAGGAGACCCTAAAGACTCAATGAGACTACTACTTGACTAATAGGCAACCAATTCAACAGAGTGGCAGGATACAGGATTATCATACCAAAATGAGCTGAATTTATCTACAGTGACAAAGAGAATATAGAAATGGAGCTAAGAAAACCAATATGAATTACAATAGCTAATCACAAGATTAGATACTTGAGAACAAATCTAACTAGAGACACAAAAGACCTATATAAAGAAGATTACAAAACATTACAAGAAACAGAGACCTGGAGAAATGGAAGGATATCCCATGCTCATGGATAGGAAGATTCAATATTGTGAAAATGACAATTCTACCAAAGGAAATCTGAAAGTTCAATGCAATCTCAATACAGATACGGATACCTTCTTCAATGAGATGGAAAGGCAATTTCCGATTTTATCTGGAATTGAAACAGAACCCAAATAAGAAAAGCACTACTTAAGAAGAGAAACAAGGTAAGAGACATCACATTCTCTGATCTCAAATCCTACCAGTTAGCTATGGTAGTCAGGGCAGCATGGTACTGGTCCAGCGACAGACACATAACTCAATCGAAGAGAAATGAGAACTGAGAAATTGGTTCATCTATAGGGTAGAGGGACGGCGCAGGAGAGGAAGGCCCTCTATGAGGTGGATTGATTCAGTGACTGGGATAATTGGGATGGGAGTATTCAGAGACAGTGCGATTGGCACAGGACAGAGCGGAGTTTAGGGCTGTTGTACATAGGGTCGCTATGAGTCGCAGGCGACTCGATGGCACATAACAACAACAACAACATATATGGTAAACTGATTTTTGACAAAGAAACAAAATCAGTTAAGTGGAGAAATGCCAGTCTCTTTAACAAATGGTGTTGGCAAAACTGTAAAATCATCTGCAGAAACTTAAACAAGATCCATATCTCACACTATAAACAAAAAACAACTCAAGGTGGATCAGGGACCTAGGAATAAAACTAAGACTATAAAATTCATCAGAAAAAAACTAGGAACAATTCTAAAAACCTTAATCCACAGCATGAACAGACTTCCAAGCATAATAAAAACCCTACAACCAGGAGAGAATAGAATAGATGAAAGGGACCTTTTAAGAATCAAATTCCTATGTACATCAAAAGACTTTCCCAACAGGCTTAAAATGAAATTCACAGACTAGGAAAAAACATTTGACAATGATACATCTGAAAAAAGACTTACATATAAAATTTATAGAAAACTCCAACACCTCAACAAGAAAAAGGTAAACAACCCAATCACAAAATGGGCACAAGATATAGATACTTCAGCAAAGATAACTTTCTAATGGCAAATACATTAAGAAATGTTCAAAATCCATAGCTGTCAGAGAGAAGCAAATCAAAACAACTACGAGATATCATCTCACCCCATCAATAACTGCAAATCAAAACGACTATGACCTCATCTCAACCCAACAATAACTGCAAAATTCAACAGGGCAGATATGGAGTTTTTCCATATGATTTCTCTATCCTTTATTTGATGTTACTATAAAGATAGACAGGACTATGTGAATGGGGCATGTTGGACTGTCCACAAGAGGGGTGGCTATCTAACATTCCACAGAGAGGTTGGCCAGTCTCAACAATCTATGAGGACTAGTTTTACCAATAAATTGAAAAGCTCTCTCGACCTGCAAAGATAAAACCTTCCCATATCAAAATATAAGAAATTCTTCAACCACCAGAAAAGGAAGGTGACCTCCCCCAACCCAGGGAAATGTAGGAAATGCTTTGGGACAGGAGCAGTAGCAATGGCCAAACTAGAGAAATGATGTGAGATGGGACTTTGAATGGGAGGGGGAGGGTGAAAGTCAATAATGACAGGAATGAAAATGTGGAAACACTTAGAGCCCCATGGCTCAAAGCTGAGGTACCTATGTGCACATTTCAGGGGCTGACTTGATTGTATTCTGTTACCCAAATTATAACCTTTAGACTTTCCCAATATGGTTCTGTGTGGTCCATGAGCTACCACATTGGATTTTGTATCCAACAAAGAAGTATGATTGGTGTTGAGATGAGTAAAAAGAGGCATGGGAATGTGAAGGACAAGTCTTACTCATGGAAATTGGTTTTGTATTATTGATGCTGTGGGGGGGGGGGATAGTTTTCCCCTGTGAAGTTGGTAAAGGTCAGATGTGATACTCCCCACATGGTCCTTGCTCTTTTTATAGCAGTAAACAACAAATGCTAGCGAGGTTGTAGAGAGAGTGGAACTCTTATTGCTGCTGGTGGAAATGCAAAATGGTACAACCACTACAGAAGGCTGTCTGGTGCATTCTCAAACAGTTGGAAATAGAAATACCTTTTGATCCAGCAATTCCACTACTGAGAATATACCCTAAAGAAACCATAACCACATCCAGATACATGTGCACCCATGTTTATTGCTGCATTATTCACACTAGCAAAGAGAAGAAAGCAACCCACATGCCCATCAACAAATAGATAGAAAAAGCTATGGTACATTCACAAAATGCAATATTATGCAGCATTAAAGAAAGATTTTGTAAAACACTACACAGGATGCATGAGCCTAGAGGACAACACAGTGAGTAAAAGATCTCAGTCAGAAAAGGACATTTACTGCATAACACTGTTATTATAAAATAAGACTGGGATGGGGAATTGGGAGGAGAACAGCACAAGAATAGATAAATAATGAACACTGTATTTGAACAGATGAGGGGTGGAAATGGGTCAAAAGGATTATATTATTAGATATTGTATGTATGACAACAATCTGGAACAAGAGGTGCATTGCAAAGTGGAACAGGGGTGGGGTAGGGAAGAAAATGTATAGCAATGAATAAATTTTTTAAAGCAGTAATTCTATTCATTACAAATATGTGTGCTTTATCATTCATCTTTTCTTACTGTGGTTGAGTCAGAACCAACTTATAGTTGGCCCTTCAGTGTGCTTCTGAGGTCAATTATATGAGAGGAAATTGTCCATTTTTGTCTCTTGGAACCACTATTGGATTTGAACTGCCAGAAAGGGGTACCCTTTCTTTCACAGCTCAACTCTCTATTGACTAGGCCACCATCATTCCCTTATCTTTCACTGGTTGTATATAAAGAAATATTTATCATATTAACATGTAATCTATCTTCTGAACAATAGATATTTGTTGTTTACTTCCAAAATCAATTAATACATTTTTGTCAACATACCTTTCTGTAGTTCTCTAGTTATGGTTTTATCCAATTCCTGTCGCATCTGAAATAGGTAAAATTTTACTTTTTATGTTTATGTTAATAAGAGGCACAACAGATAACATGTATTTATAACATGTAGTCATGATTTAAAAAATATTTTAGAGATGTACACCTCTGGAACTAATAGGTTTTTTTGTTGTTAGGTGCCTTTAAGTCAAGAACAACTCATAGGAACCTTGAGAACAGCAAACCTGAACCTAGCCTATCACAAATTAAATACATTTCCTATTTATTTTAATTTTAAATATTACAAAATAGATAAAATGTTGCTTAAAATAAGCTGATAAAAATTCAAATATTAGTATTATTATCAATCATTTCACAAGAATGATATATGATCTCACTGGTATAAATAATCTAAGTCATATTTTACACTGAAAGTATTACTTTGACATACTAACAAAATATTTTCATAAAAGATAAATCAGTTTTTTAACCTTAACAGTGTTTTTCTTAAAATAAAATGAACTTTGCATTCTTTGTTGTTATGTGCCATCAAGTCAGAACCGATTCATAGCTGACCCTCCAATGGATTTTCAGAGGTAGAAAATCCCACGGAGGGAGATTGCTCATCTTTCTTCTGCAGAGCAGCTGCTGGATTATATCCATGGGCCTTTGGGTTTGCAGCATAGTTTCTTACTGCTAGACCACCAGAGCTCCCATTGCATTCTTTACTTTTGGAAATTTAAATCTTAAAGAATACAGGTATGTGTGAAAACCAATATATAAACAAAACACAATGTATAAGAATTTCATATGCAAACCAAAATAAAACAAAAATAATTTTTAAAAAGTTGTTTCTTTAGAAATAAGTTATGATGACACACTTTTATTGAACCTTACTGCTATGTCTTTATATCTTATTCTTAATAATCTTTTGTAGTGATAGTAAATGATAGCAACACATTCCTTCAAAGCAATTTCAAAGAATACTTGACTGATTTTTGAGAAGGATGATTTCCTCAAAATATAATTATATTAAATTTTATAATTAAAAAAGTACCTGCCTGTAACTAATTATTCATCAGACTCTTAAATACATAAAATGAAGAAAATGGCCAAGTCTTAATGCCATACGAAAATTCTACTGGCAAGAAATGAAGCTTTTTCTGAATTTACTATTCTTTAGTAATTACTATATTATGGCTGTTAACACTCGTCATTTAAGCACAGAGATTATAGAAACTTTGCTTGGAGGAAAGATAAATACTGAATTAGGGTCAATTAAGAAATTTCATTTCATTGACTCATGACTCCCTAGAATAAAAAACAAAAATGATAAATAATATTGGAAAAAAAGAATAAAAATGATGAAAATGAATAAAAAATATTAATAATAAAGCCCCATTTATTGGCGTAAGTTCCAATTCATAGTGACCTTAGGGACTCCTGAGAGAAACAGCGTTGGGTCCTATGGCATCCTTACAATCATTGCTGTTTGAACCCTTGGCAACAGCCACTGCACGTCACATGCAAAGTTTTCCTCTTTTCCATTGATATCCTTTACCAAGTATAATGTCCTTCCCAGAGGCAGGTTCTTCCTCCTAATATACCCAGCACACATGAGACCGAGTATCATCATCTTCAAGTCTCAGAAGCCTAATTGCTGTATGTCTTCTCAGACTAATTTGTTCATTCTTCTGGCAGTCCACAATGTATGTATGTATGTTGTTGTTAAGTGCTATCCAGTCATAGGTGACTCATCGTGACCCTATGAATGAAAGACCCGAGCCCTGTTCATAGAAATTCCCGAGGCAAGCCATTTCAGAAGTGGATGCCACTCCTGCTTCCAAGCTTGTTTTAATTGGGGAGATCCAGTAAACACTGTCCACCATGGGTAACCATTATCACATTTGGCACATCAGTGTCACAGTGCTTAGCATCACAGTGACCATGAGTATAAGTGTGTATATACAGATGTATTTCATCAACAGCATAATTCAAAGGCATCAACTTTCCTTTGCTCTTTCTCATTCACTACCTAGCTTTTGCATGTATATAAGAGAAATAAAAATACCATGGTTTGGGTGTTTTGCACCTTAGACCTCAAAGGGATATCTTTTTTTGGTTTTTTTTCACTTTAGTCTTTTGCAGCAAAACTAAATTCATCATTTCATCATTTTGTAAAAAAATTGGTTTGCATATGATCACTCATACGTATAACTTTTGCACATATACATTGTGCTTTACACAATCATTTATGTACATTATATTTTATATAACTAATTACTGTTGCTCCGTCTATCATCTCCATGTCTTTGCAAGCACCCGATTAGCATGGAGATTCCAAATTTCTTGGAATAGGATACTGAGGGCTGAATTTGTTGAAACAGCACAATTGATATTTCATTGTTTCCTAGGGGCCCTACTTATGGCCTAATGCTTTATTGCAGCTTGAACTTCTTCCTTCATTATTACTGGATTTTGATCATATGCTACTTCCTGAAATGGTTTAATGTTGACCAACTCTTTTTAGTATAGTGACTCTGTGTACTCTTTCCATTTTCTTTGGATGCGTCTTGCATCATGCAAGATTTTGCCCATATAATCCTTCAATATTACAACTTGAGACATGAATTTGTTCTTCAGTTCTTTAAGACTGAAAAACGCTGAATGTTTTCTAACTCCAGTTATTTGCACATTTTGTTGTAATACTTTGCTTTGTCTTCTCAATCTGCCTTTTCAATCCTCTTTTCCTCCAGCATTTCTTCCTTTTGTGTTAGCCTCTCAATGCTCTAGTGCAAGTTAATTAGTATGACTATTCAATTCCTTAATAACATGCCTCCAGAAACTATGAACTTGGAGAAATGTTGATAGTTTTAGAGGGGCATCAGGCCTTTTGTTCAGAGGGTTGCTATGAGTTGTGCTCGACTTGAAGGTAATAAACAACAATACTAATTGCTCACCCACCACAGCACCCTCATTATAACAAGATGTTAGTTTGAGGAGTAAGGTGTGTCTGATTCAGGCCATGGTCTTTTCAATTACTTGCTATGCTGCTGAGAACAATGAATAAGGATGACAGAAGAATTATTGATTTCTTTGAACTGAGGTTTAGAGAATAGTACTGAATATCCTTTAGACTGCCAAAAGAATAGACAGTCTTGGAAAAGGTGCAGCCAGAGTACTCCTTGGGAGTGAAGATGATAAAGCTTCGTCTCACATCCTTTGGGCATTTTCCTACAAAAGGTTATGCTTTGAAGAGTGACAACATGCTTGGAAATGTGGAGGGATGGTTAACACTAGAAAAACTCTTAACTAGGCAGATTTACACAGTGACTGTAGCAATAAGCTTAAGTGTGTCAGAGATTGTGAGGATGATACAGAATAGGACAGGGTTCATATCTGTTGTTCACAGGGTCGCTATGAGTCATATTCAACTTGATGACATCTACAACAGCAACAAATTATCATTAATTTTATACGCAAGTAAAGTCTTGTTGAGGGTTATGGAAAAACATCTGGGATAGTACAGGAAAACACTAGAAACTCAAGGTGGATTAGGAAAGAAGCCAAGGAGCAAGGGATATCATCGCTAACATCAGATGGATCTTGGATGAAAGCAGAGACTATTAGAAAGATGTTTACCTATGTTTTATTGATTATACAAAAAGTATCTGATCTGTGTGGATCATAACAAGTTATGGATAACACTGAAGAGAATGGGAATTGCAGAACACACAACTGTGCTCATGGGACACGCATACTTAAACCAAGAAGTAGTTGTGGAAACCAAACAAGGGAACACTGTTGTTGGTGTTGTTATGTGCCATTGAGTTGTTTGAGACTCATAGCGACCCTATGTACAAAAGCCCTAAACTCTGGCCTATTCTGTGCCAATCTCATTGCCTCTGACACACCCATCACAATTACCCCAGTCACTGAATCAATCCACCTGACAGAGGGCCTTCCCCTCCTGCGCTGTCCCTCCACCCTCCCAAGCATGATGTCCTTCTCCAATGACTCTCTTACAATGTCTTCCAATGTCTCTCCTTACAACACTCCCAAAGTATGTTAGACAGAGCCTCAGAATCCTTGCCTCCAAGGAGTAGCCTGGTTTAACCCTCTCCAGGATGAATCCGTTTGTTTTCTTGGCAGTCCAGGGTACATTCAATACTCTTCTCCAGCACCACAGCTCAAAGGCGTCAATTCTCCTTCTGTCCTCCCTAGTCATTGTCCAATTCTCTGATGCATAACAAGTGATTGCAAAGACCCTGGCCTGTATCAGGCGCACCTTAGTCTCCAGAGAGACACTGTTGCTCTTGAGTACTTCAGAGAGGTCCCTAACAGCAGACATTCCCATCGCAATACGTTTTTTTATTTCCTGGCTGCTGGTGCCAAGAATGTTGATTGTGGAGCAAAGCAGACTAAAGCTGTCAACAATCTCAATCTCTTCACCATCCATCCTGACGCTGTCAATTGGTCCAGTAGTGAGAATTTTGTCTTCTTGACATTGAGCCTTAGTCCATACTGAAGGCTGCAGTCCTCGACACTCTGCAGCAAGTGCATGAGGTCCTCCCGAGTTTCAGCAAGCAGGGTTGTGTCATGTGCACAACTCAGATTGTTAATAGATCTTCCACCAATCCTGACGCCACACTTCTCCTCATAGAGCCCAGCCTCTCGGATAATCTGCTCTGCTTACAGGTTGACAAGGTATGGAGATAGGACACATCCCTGGCATACACCCTTCCAAATTTTGAACCATGCAGTGTTACTCTGCTCTGTTCTGACGACTGCCTCTTGGTCCAAGTATAGGTTTCACATTAGCACGATTAAATGTTCTGGGATTCCCATTCTTCTCAGAGTCAGCCACAGTTTGTTATGATCCACACAGTCAAACGCCTTTGTATAATCAATGAAACACAGATAGACAGTCTTCTGGTATTCCCTGCTTTCAGCTAAGATCTATCTAACATCTGCTACAATATCCCTAGTACCACGACCCCTTCCATACCCAGCCTGGACTTCCAGCAGTTCTCTGCTGATGTGCTGCTCCAGTCGTTTTTGGATAATCTTCAGTAAAATCTTGCTTGCATGTGAAATCAATGATATTGTTCTGTAGTTTCCACACTACATGGTTTAAAATCAAGAAAGATGTGTGTTAGAATAGAGTCCTTTATATGCACACCCATGTTTATTGCGGCTTTGTTCACAATAGCAAGGAGTTGGAAACAACCTAAGTGCCCATCAACAAATGAATGTATAGAGAAGCTGTGGTATAGTCACACAATGGAATACTACATTGCATTGAAAAACAAGGAACTCATACAATAGTCTCAAGATGGGTGACCCTGGAGGACAATGTACTGAGTGAAAT